AGAGTATTTGTATTCGATGTAACTTGTAATGATTTATTTGCAGCATCTTTGCTGCATCCAATTGTAATAACTAAACTAAAAAGTGTTAGCTACAAAATAATATTTTAGAAAGTTCCCTCGTAATTCTCTAACCATATAATTTTCATTAGGAATGTGTGGAACTGTTCGCTACGTCATTTTTAATTGAACACCTGATTAGATTGTTACAGACAAGGGATCCCATCTAGACATCAGACTACCAACTATTAGCGCAGGTTTAAGTATAAGCGGCGAGTACAGAAGTCCAAGAGCATCTAGACAAGCCTTGATCCGTAGGAAAGAGGCCTCTCTGTCTTCCGAAAATGGTACTGTACACTTTCATAGCGATCTAGTAAATAGACTGCGGATTTTCTGCAATTTATCACTGAAATGAGTAGACAGAATTTCAAACGGTAGGACGTTACCACTAGCGAATTGCCATTTGAAGCTACTTGAAAGTCACAAGCATGATTGTACATTATATTTATCTCACTGAGATTATTCGGAAAAGGATGAATTTTCTCTCCGGCTTTTGTTTACATTGACAAAGATAATTCTGATAACACTCTTTTAATCATATGTAAGTAATATATATACATATTATAAATAATTATACATATAGTGCTGTCCACGAGTGTATAACATGCTCTGCCTGATATTGTACGATTTTCGTTCAAAATTTGTTCTGTATACAACAAAAAGAACTCATTACACAACGCTTATTCTACAAGAAATATTTTAGTGAAAAAATTAAATAATTCACCCGGTATAGTTTATAAGTGTGCTTCGAAGAAAATTTGTCAAAATATCCACTAACATCCTGAATCGTTTTATTCAATTCGTCTGTCCCAAGTGTCTCGATGCTTCTTTAATTTTTGTTTTTCAATTTAATCCAACATCGATCGAGATCGATCCGAATAATTAAGTACATTCCAAGGAGAAAGGTTCACCGACTGCGAATTACTTTTAGGATCCACGACCATGAAAGATCGGCCAGCAAACAATCTTTCGAAGAAAGGTGCACCGAACATGGAACCGCTGCCCGAAATGCCTTCCTGCGACGATCTAGCTTCGAGCGGCGTGGAAAGCTGGCTGGACTCATCGAGCAAGTATCACAGTTGCGAGATCGTCGACGAGGACTAGCAGGAGGCCTCCTTAACGCCGGACACCTTCTACGAAGGGGACAGTGACTAAGTGACGGCGTTAAGATTGTGTTTTTGCATATTGAAGATAAACTGTATTTTTTACACGAGAAACAGTTCGAATCGAATTACAAAGCGTCGATCAAAGATCGAAAATGTGTTCCATAAGTAAACGCGTCGCGAGACGTCTGACAATTCCATTACCTCAGTCGTGAATTAATGGAGGCGCAGTGATTTTCACTGGGACGAGGAACATCTCCTGTTGTTTATAATAATATATTGACGAGTGCGTCGATCGTAGGATTTTGGAAGTGTTTAAATCGTAATCTCCAAGGCAACAACACTAGCTAGTGTTTACACGTGGACGAGGTCGGAGAGGTTGCTGTTGTGTTTGCACGCTTTATTACACGAATCGACAGGGTGCTTCAGAATGAACAGGATTTAGGCAGATACGGTTTCACACATTCGTTTTAGGAATCTTTTGTATATTTTACGAACGTTCAACGATATTGTAGTTTATTAAATAGATACTATTCATTAAATAGTTCCACGTTTATTTTATATTCATTAAACAGTTCTGCATTTATTATATATTCGTCAAATAATTCTACATTTATTTTATATTCATTAAACAGTTCTGCGTTTATTCTATATTCATTAAATTGTTCTACGTTTATTTTATATTCATTAAACAGTTCTGCGTTTATTTTATATTCATTAAATTGTTCTACGTTTATTTTATATTCGTGAAATAATTATACATTTATTTTATATTCATTAAATAGTCCTACATATATTTTATATTCGAGAATTAATTCAGTATTTATTTTATATTCGCTAAATAGTTCTACATTTATTTTATACTCATTAAATAATTCTACATTTACTTTATATTCATTAAATAATTCCACGTTCATTTTATATCCATTAAATAGTTTCACGTTCATTTCATAT